TTTTTTTTTTTTTTTTTGGTTTAATATACATGTAATAGAAAATAATAATAATTAATATATTGGCTCATTATACATCAAATAATTGGATAAACATGCGTGTTACTCCTATTTAATTATTGTGGTTATTATTATTAGTATTATTATTTATTATTATTACTATTAATATTAATTTTAAGTATGTGTTATAAAAAATAGAAATGAAACATATTTTATTTGATTGATATTGAAGTTTTTGAAGATCAATTAACCAATACAATTATCCTTCAATTTTAAAAAATATATAAAATAAAAAACCTTCTAATGTATTAACATATCATGTATTATAACATTATGTGTGACATTTTTTCATATTATTGTTATTGTTTGTGTTACAGTTAGTTGTATATTAAGATTTAATCTTACTTCTTTGCAAATAAAATACAAAATTAACATTGAAAAATTATATATATTAATATCTTGAATAATTTTAAATTTATAAAATCACATTATTTCTTATTCAATGCTTCCTTTTGTTGGCTCAATGCACTCCAAGAGGCAGGTGAATTGGAGTTAGAAAATTTTCACCTCTTTGCAACCATTAAACAAAAATTAAAAGGAGAGTAAGGAAGAAGAGCTTACATAATGATTTTATAGAGGTTCAGTTCAATCACTCAGAACCTAATTTTCTACTTTGACTTCACTCACTAAGGATTTCCTCCACACTCTCCACTAAGAAAAACAAGGGTGGCTTAAAGAAGCTACTCAATCCTTTTATAAGAAGAAGGGTGTTTTTCTCAAGTCTCACCCCTTTACAAGATAAACCCCAAGAATCCTCTCTTCAAATCACTCTTGAAGGAATAATCACATCCCCAACATAACACACAAGTAGAACAAGAGGAGGATTATAAGTAAAAATCACTCAAAGATTAAAAACTCAAGTTAAAGCATAAGTTGGTAAGTAAAGATATTCAATACAATACTCTAAAACTAATCCTAGATCTGCTACCAACCATATTTATAGCCCTTTGGTCAAAAATAGTCGTTTCTAGCCATTGGGGGTCATTAAATGCTTTGCAGGTTGCATAATTTAGAGTTGTAGATTTGTTAGTACAACCGGCTTAAAGTCTAGAGTGGGCTTACAATTCTATAGCTGGTTTTGTGGGTTTCCTCCACATTCTGTTTTCTTGCATAGCCAACTGCAAAGTACAAAGCTGGCTTTGGGATTCTGACTTTAAAAACATTAAATAATCTTTAAATAACTTGACCGTTGTGCATTAAATGCTTCATCACAACCTACTGCAAAGTTAAAGCCAGCTTTGCGTCCGTTTTCTACGCACACCAAAACATGTGCTTGAATTTTGGTCTCATAGAGCTGGCTATAACTTTTAGAGCCAACTCTCTACGCTTGCCTTCACCAGAGCTGGCTGCAAATTTTTAGAGCCTATTCTCTGCACATTTTTCAGTCTTTTTGATCCTTTTTAGTGCAATTCAAGTTCACTTACTTTTACAATCTTTTATATGTTTAACTACACACTTAAATGAACAAATTAGTTACTCAAATGTGTTTTGTAATCATCAAAATCATAGGTACAACAATCTCCTCCTTTTCAACAATGACAAAACACTTTGAGAATAAATTAATGAAAGCACATATATAGTCCAATATTAACAAGAAATGTCAGCACATCAATAGTCCAATATTAATAAGAAATTTCAACACACTTTCTCCCCTTTTTTGTCATCCATCAAAAAGTATATAAACATAATCAAGAAGCTCCCTCTTAATTCATGCATATCAACTTTTAAAGCATCAAAAATAGGTAATTTAAGCATAATATCCATAAATTGTTTCCCTTCAATGAAAGCACTTAAGATCCTAATCATCAAAATCATAGGCAACCATAAAGTTATATACAATTAAAATCCACAACTCATGATAATAAGCTAAGAAATGTGCATAGACAATGAGGGCAAATTTTGGGAAAGAATCAACTCTTGAATGTGAGGAGAGGAAAAGGGCCAAACATTAAAAATTTATCACAATCAAGAGGCTTTGTAGTAAACAAAGATATCTCATTCCAAGCAACTATGAAGGTCAAAAGATTCTCTCTCCTTTTTGTTATCCAACAAAAAAGTTTGAAGATCATATGAAGAGCAAAACAAAAGAGCTCCCCCTTAATAAAATAACTCATGAAAGCATGAACATACGCATATAACAATCTCATTAATATCATACCAAGAATGTATAATCATCTATGATTTAAGTCATAAAGATCAATAAAAGATAAATGAAATAGCACAAATGTTATATGCACTCAAGATTAAGCAATATATATGTCCATCATACTCATAAAGAGTTTGAAATTGATAGGTTTACCTCCATTATTATTAGAGCAATTGAATACCTCAATGGAGAGGCCATTGCTTGTGCATCTCCTTTGTATGTTCCCTTTGATTGGTGAAGATCTCATCTTTGGGATAATTTCATTTAAAGTTCCAATATATTTAATTGTCTCAAGTTTACTTAACATTGCTTTGGAAAATTCTTTGCAATGAAACTCATTAGTCGCACAAAAAAACAATGTTAATGCCATCATTAAGTACAACATGTATATTTCTTACCCTTGAGATATATTACCATTTATCACATTACCTTTATAGGATCTCTCTTTTGGGTAGAATTATAACCTTTGTTTTTGTGCTTGTTGCATCTCCTCAATCTTGTTCTTCTCATTTGCTTCACATGGAGGATGTGTGATGCTATTGCCTTCAATGTTCATTCTTACCTTTGTTACCCAATAACATCTACATCATAATTTCACAACTCTTTCTAGAGCAAATGGGGTTAGCCTCATTGAATACCACATGAATAAATTCAACACTATTACTCTTTTACTCCTTTTTATAGGCATCATACCATATGATAGTAAATATCAAAGTCTTATTCATTGAAATCAACCATGGCTATGCAAGCATTCAAGTGCATGACATACTCTTGCACATAATCAAATATCATCAAAATCATCCATCAAAGAACAAACATACAAGTTTCCTAACATACTTAACTTCCAAGTGTAAGACTCTCCCTAAGATTATGCTCAACTTCCAAGTGCTATCATCAAAATTGTGAGAATAATGAGATAAGTAAATTAGAGTGTGACAAACCATGTAAAGTAAGATAAGTTATTAAAATTACTCATTTAGATCAAATCATCAACCATCGTCAAAATAGCATATATGGCATTAAAAAAATCATTCATACCATCAAAAGCTCATCATGAACTATATATGATAAATAATCAATCTAATTATTGACATATATCAAGCATGTAAATATGATGAGTAATATATATAGCAATCAACAAGGATGTATCAATACTAGAAAAGACATATTAAATGATATCATACTCAACAAGAATATATATCAAAGAGTGAGCACACATAAACAAGTAATTACTAGTCATGTCAATGTAATTATACTCAATAAATCAATGCAATAAGATAAATAATACCAATTTAGGTACATGAGTGGAGCATTCAAAAACAAAATTTTATTTGCACTTCCATGCCAACATTCTTGTTGAGGCACAAGTCTTTATCAAGATCAACTTTGCTTTTCTTATGGCTTTTCCATCAACTTTACCTACAAAACAAAATCAAGTTTTGATTTTTGGTACCCAAATTTGCTTGGGTCCTTGGGACTTAGTGCTTAAGGTTCCTTTTGGAACCCAAATTTGCTTCACTTTTTCTTAAGCTATCAATCTCTTCAAAGGACATACATAAGCAAAGCGTCACTTTGCACCACAACAATAGCAAGTAACTTTAGAATTAGAGAATTGACTTGTCGTCAAAAAGAAGTTCTTAAAAGTCTTTTGCTTTTAGAATAATCAAATGCAATACCCCCTTTGTCATAGATACTTCCTTGAGATTTTAAGATAAAATCAAATTTTTCTTTACTTAAGGTAAATTTGGAAATCACATTCTCAAGATCATAAACTTTCTTTTTCAAGTTTTCATTTTCCTTTTTCAAAGCATTACTAAATTCCTCATTCTTTAAAGATGCAATCTCAACATTTAAGGAGGCATTTTCTTTAACTAAAACCTTGTTTTGTTTTGAAAGAGATTCAATCTCACTTTTAAGCAATGAAATGGTTTTAGTAAGAGCAAGATTCTCATTCCCTAGTTTCTTGATATCATTCATAGAGCAATCAAGAACTTTGCATAAATCATCATAAGAATACTCAAAGGAATTTTCATTAATTGAACTAGAGAAGTTAGAGTTTACCTCCTCATCATTGTGGTTATCCTCTTGAACCATGAAGCAAAGATCTGCAACACCATTGTCCAAGGAGCTTTCACTTTCTATTGAGCTAGTCTCATCATCACCCTAAGTGGTGGCAAAAGCTTTCTTCTTCATGCTCTTCTTGTCTTTCCTCTCATCCTTCTTCAATTGAGGGCATTCATTTTTGTAATTCCCCATCTTGTTGCACTCATAGCATTGGATATGCTTCTTACTTGGCTTTCCTCTATCATCATCATCACTACATATTCTTCCTCTAGAATAGTGAATTTCCTTGTTTCTTCTAAAGGATTTCCCTTTGAGGATCTTCATGTATTGCTTCACTTCCTTTGAAACCAATTTGGTGATGTCCTCCTCATTGCTAGACTCATCATTACTAGCATCATCTTCACTTTCTTCTTTTTTTTGCTAGCCTTGAATGCAACATTTTTCTTCTTCTCAACTATTTCAACTTTACCATCAACTTGAATATCCATCTTATATGTCATCAATTTTCCAATGTGATAATCAAGCTTGAGGGTGTTGAGATCTTTAGACTCTTCAATTGTGGTCTTCTTGGCTTCCCAATTCTTAGGCAAGCTTCTAAGAACCTTCCTCACCACTTCTTGAGAAGGATAAACTTTACCAAGAGCCTTGAGATTTGTGACTATATCATTCAATCTTGTATACATATCTTGAATGCTCTCCTCTAGTTTCATCTTAAAACGCTCATACATGTGAATGAGTCTATTAATTTTTGACTCCTTCACTTAGCTTGTTCCTTCATGTGTTGTCTCCAACATGTCCCACATTTCCTTAGCCATATCACACCCGGATACTCTATTGAATTTCGTTGGATTGAGAGCACATTGAAGCATGTTGATTGCTTTGTTGTTGATCATGATCTTCCCTAAGTCTTCATCATTCCATTCAACTTCTTCCTTCTGCATCTCATTTTCTCCAACAACATTCATGGGCACATATGGACACTTTGTAGTCACAATCCATGCCTTAGGCTCATTTGCAAGCATGTAAACCTTCATCCTATTCTTCCAATACTTATAATTAGTACCATCAAAGAAAGGAGGCTCAGTGGTAGATAAATCTTCAAGTGGTTGAGAAACTTGAAATTTAGCCATCGCCAATCAACTCCTAGGTTGTTAAACCTTCAAATTGGAGCCCTTACTTTGATACTAATTGTTGGCTCAATGCACTCTAAGAGGGGGGTGAATTGGAGTTGGAAAATTTTCACCTCTTTGCAACCACCAAATAAAAATTAAAGAGAGAGTAAGGAAGAAAAGCTTGCACAATGATTTTATAGAGATTCGATCGAACCACTTGGAACCTAATCCTCTATCTTGGCTTCACTCACCAAGGATTTCCTCCACACTCTCCACTAAGAAAAACAAGGGTAACTTGAAGGAGCCACTCAATCCTTTTACAACAAGAAGGGTGTTTCTCTCAAATCTCACCCCTTTACAAGATAAACCCCAAGAATCCTCTCTAAAAATCACTTTTGAAGGAATAATCACACCCCCAAGATAACACACAAGTAGAACAAGAAAATGATTATAAGCAAAGATCAGTCAAAGATCAAAACTCAAGTTAAAGCACAAGCAAAGATATTCAATACAATGCTCTAAAACTAATCCCAAATCTCCTACCAACCATATTTATAGCCTCTTAGTCGAAAATAGTCATTTTTAGCCATTGGGGATCATTAAATGCTCTACAGGTTGCATAATTTGGAGTTGCAAATTTGTCAATATAGCCAACTTAAAGTCTAGAGCTGGCTTTATACAGCCAGCTTAGAATTCTATAGTCGGCTTTGTGGGTTTCTTGCACATTTTATTTTCTTGCACAGTCGGCTACAAAATATAAAGCCAGCTTTAGGATTCTAACTTTGAAAACATTAAATAATCTTCAAATAACTCGACCATTGTGCATTAAATGCGCCATCACAGCCGGCTGCAAAGTTAAAACCTGCTTTACATCCATTTTTCGCGCCACCAAAACATGTGCTTGAATTTTTGTCCCATAAAACTGGCTGTAGCTTTTAGAGCCATCTCTGTGCACATTTTCAGCCTTTTTTAGTGCAATCCACGTTCACTTACTTTTGCAATGTTTTAGAAGTTTAACTACACACTTAAATGAATAAATTAGTCACTCAAATGTGTTTTGTAATCATCAAAATCATAGATACAACACCTTTCATATCAGCTATTTTAACAATATTGCCATTCATATAACTTTTATAAATTGAGCATTCAACAATGAAACTCCTCTTACTAAAAAAATAGTTTATTTTAAAATTAAGTTACACAATATGTGAAATTTTTAATTTTAATAAAAAATTATAAACTTCATGTCACGCCCCAAAACCCGAATTCGAGGCGCGACAGACGCCGTGCACTCGTGAGAAGGTCCCACAAATGCACAAGGCTCGGAACTTATCATACTGTACTCTGATACCACCAAAATCTGGAGATCAAATCTTTAAATTTTCTTCGATATCATAAATCTACAATTACACTCTAGCTTACAAAATCACGATTTATTTCTAAAATCTATATCAATCTCGAAATGGCTAGCCTTCTAACTCGTCACTTCCAGTGGTTTCCCCGTCCTCAATTTCGCTTCCTGAAATGGTGGACAAGGAAAAACTATGAGATAAACTCAGTAAGTAAAATATGGAGTGCCCTTATTAAACTTATAGCATGCCAATAAGTACAATCACGAAAAACGGATACAGTACAGGAACGAAATAGACGTCTCCTCTATAGGTCATGGCCAGTGCTCCCACTGGCAGGCAATAGGAATTACTAGTGTATAACCCCCACTAGCAGGGTTACAAGAACGAACCGGTTCTAACAAGAATATATCGACATGTGCCGACATGTGCTAGCGTTTAACCCCCACTAGCAGGGTTACAAGAACATAACCACATCGAAGACAAAACAGGCTGAAGTTAACAGCAAAACATAATTTACCAATCACTTTCAGATCATCAGGATAATCATTAAATTTCAAGTAGGCATGCTCAATTTAATGACAAACATAAACATTTCACTTCAAATCAGTCATGCTCGGGTAAAACGGGTTTAATCCCGCCACCATTTCAAAAACAAATCAAAACATGCTTTTAAAAACTGTATGGGCATTACCATAAATTTACTTACCTCACTCACATAAACCGAACACTCGATCTCAGTGCTAACTGACAGAACGATCAGGAACCTAATCAAATATCCGAGAATCAATACCATACTATCACAAATTCACACTGAAATCATCATTAAGACTACCCTTAATCACGGTACTATTTTTATTAATCTCCACATTATCAGATATCTCCAAATTCATTCTCATATCACAAACTAATCATTTAAATCCCCGTTAATTGTTGACCCTCAGTGTGTGAACAGTGCCCACAAACAGTGCCGTGAACAGTATCTCATGAACAGTACCCACGACGTGAACAGTAACTCCAACCTCCAAAATTGGCCAAAACACTAGCTAATCACGGGGTTTTCTCTCCAACAATCACAGCAATCAATTAACACTCAATCACATAATTCTCACTTGGATTAAGCTAAATCATGGTCTAATTACTATCAATTTTCTCCCCTAATTAATCCAGAATTTCGGACACAAAGGGCAGCAATTAGATGGCTAATTTCAAGCTTAAATGGCTGTCAACATACCATAATTCTCCAGCTAAAACCGGAGCTGCAGGGGGGGAGAGGCCGGCGGCAAGCTGCAGGGAAAGCTCACGGGTTTACCCAAAATTGAAGGAAATAAGAGCAATCAAAGTTAACCCAAGCCAATTCAAGCAAGAACAAAGGAAATTAGGGGCTGTTCTTACCGAAAAAAATGCCCAGAAATCACCCATACCCACTAGCAGCCGGCGGTGAAGACAAGCAAAGCAAGGCAGATCTGGAATTTCCAGCAAGGGGGAAGATTTCTGGGTTCCAAATCAGGTTCTTGGACAAGAAAGAAGGAGAAATCAAGATTTCTCACCGGTTTCTCAAAGGAAAAAGTCACCGGCAGCTGGGCTTCGTTTGTTCGGCTGCAGGGGGGTTGGGAAGAGCAGAACATGCGGGCTGGAGAAGAAAGAAAGAAGGAAAAAGAAAAGGAAAAGAAGTCATCCTTATCCAAAACTCTTTCACTTTTAAGTCCTTCAGCTTTTGAAATATGCACATTAGGTCCCAAAACAATCTTTTCTCACAATCAAGTCCCTAACTTACTTATTTATTCTAGAAAATTTTGGGGTATCACACTTCATTATATACTTACCTTTATTATTTTTATGATCATAAATATAAATATAATAGTCTCCACATTTAAGTTATTTAAAAATTTAATTTGCTCAACTTAATTTACCATGAAAGATCAAAGTGTTATGCTTAAGTGGGTTTTCCTTTAATAAATTTAAAATATTATCAAACAATTATTTATAAGTAATTGATTAAAAATCATATTTTATTCAATTAAGGAGAAATGAAATTCAAATATTTTATGCAATAACATCAATATGAATTATGTTTGATATTCAATATGTCACTCTATGCAAACAACATTACAACAATTTGCTTGCTTTTTTTGTGGAGTCCCAACACTGACTAAAACTCCAGTAACATTTAGAGTTTTAATAAAAGTAATTTTAATAAAAATGAATCATATGCTCATTTAATAAAATTATATTAAGATAAAAAAAAATACCACAAAAAGTTTTCTTCTTTGTCTCAAATGGGTTCTCATAATTAGAGAGTTCAAATACAAATCTTGAAATCACTAGGACTTCTTCATTCAATTCTTTGATTCTAATATCAAGATGAAATTGGATCCTATGATTGTTATAAATAACACAATATGTGTTCCTATTTTTTTCTATAAAATTTTTTTTATGTAATAAACATTCTTTTTAATCAATTTATCTTTAAATCACAAGGCATTGGAACTCCACATTACAACATAAATAAATTTTTTTTGAAAACAAAATAATAATTGTTAATAGAAATCATTAAATATCTAAAAAACCAAATGTAATTACTCAAAAAATTAGCTTCTTATAGGTCAAAATCATTTAAGTAGTTAGATGATATTTGTCATGTTTCAAACTAAAAACACCCACATCTGATTGTCTATATATTTGCACTTTAATCTTCTAATCTTTGTTATTGGGAGAAAGTAAATCAAGAAATACGTATTTCATTTCTTTTGCTTTGATTTATCTCTAAATATTTTAAAAATTTTAGCAACAAAATTTTTCAAAATATGAGAAAAAATGTAACATAATTAGGGAAAAAACAAATTGGTGGTTAAAACCAAATACCTATTTATATTGAGAAAAGGAAATCCAAACAACTATATCCTGCAACCAAATTCTGGATTTGGAAAAATCTTTAAAATAAAATAGCAATAAAAAAAGATAGGGTGTTTAAATAGTTAACAGCTGACTCTTCATCTTCTTTTTGTTGGATAATTTTTTTCCCCATTTTTCTTTCTTTGGTTGCCTCTTCATCTACCACATTTATTCATTAATCAATTGTCTTTAATTATTTTAGTCATTTAAATATTTTTAGTTATTTGTCTATTCATCGACCACTTTTATTATCACTCATAATTTTCTCTTTTTTCCATATACACTAATAATATAATAATTTTTATATATATTTTGGATACCCTATTTAATGCATAGGGTAGCATTATATATATATAGATAGATATATTATACTACTTGCAGAGAAATTAGAAAAGCTT